CTCGCTCGCTCTCTCTCTCCCTCCCTCCCTCCCTCCCTCCCTCCCTCCCTCCCTCCCTCCCTCTCCCTCCCACCCCTCTAGACCTGGCCTTATATTTGTACGTATCCAATAGCAGATCACAGAGATACAGGCGGAAAGAGCGATAGGCAGGCAGATGGACGGACAGACGTACATGATCCAGAGGCAGACAGCGAGGCAAACAAATGATCACGCACAAAGCATTGACCTCGGTTGTTCAGAGTCATGATGATGGACGTGTCTAGCCAGAAGAGAAGTGCCGAACAACCCGAGGACTTACTGTGCGAGACCCTGTTGCGATACACGATGCCTTGCAAGAGGCAGGTGCCTCGATGTGGGGTTTTCACCATTTCGTTTTCGGGCCATATCGTCCAACAGGTCTTTTTACTTTGGCATTGCACGAGAGATTCTTGCACTTCATGGAGTCCGGAAGTTCTGGAGGGATCCTTCCCCTGAGCCCGATGCCCTACACGCGATCTCTGACAAATGCAGCTCGCACGTCTCTATTATTCCTCATGCTTTGCTACAGATCTCCATCCCAAAACCGTTCACCTCGAGCTTAAGCGCCTCCCTATTTACAAACCGAATGAGCTCTACCAACCTCCTCTCGAGCCGACTTTTAAGTCAGTTGACACTGCGTACCCGAATTGGAGTGCACGCTTTAGGCTTAGAGTTAGGGCCAGCGGAATGGCATCCAGGCCGCCAGAGCTCAAAGCATCTTGGCACCCGAGGCCGTGTCTGAGTGAGTTTATTCACAGCAGATACCTTTTTCTACGTAGCCAAAGGTCTTCGGAGGGCGAATTTCGGGTGGCGAGCTACAGGGCCGAGGGACTTCTGGGGTTTAGCGCTTGGAGTGGGGGTTTGCAGGCCTGCAAAGGGCGTTGAGGTCGCTTTCAGCAGGTTTCCTGCAATAAACAGGTCCTGTGCCTTCGTTTCACCCAAGATGCAGCACGTCTCTGTTGAACTTCCGAAGCTTCAGAGCTCAAGTTCAGGGCTTGGGATAGAAGGCCCTGCTGCCAGGGGCGTGCAATCCAAGCTGACGCTCAAAAGGGTTTAGTTGATTTACGCAGTGTGTTAGCAGGGTCTGTACCCGGCAGCCGCAATATGCCTAGATTTAAAAGGATGTTTAGGCTTTATAGGGTTTACGGTTTAGGAGTTTTCCGGCTGAAGAACGGCAGAGGAGGCAATGCTGGCAGTCATCAAGTCCGGTTTCAAAAGGAGTTTTCAAGACCCACGCCATTGTCCGATTCCCCTGGTCCGACGCAGGCCCTCGTGAAGGTGCTTTGGTCTGCGGCCACCCTCGGGAGCTTTCTGCCGAAACGCACTTGTGGTGTCTACTGCACATTGGGTTAGAGTCTAAGTCTAAGTTAGAGATAAAGGTTATGTTGAGTATAGCAGCCGAGGTGACCAGACTGCAGTGTTAGCGATCGTACCTAGTCATGCTTGTAGGCAGTAGCTGCAAGCAATGACACGGTCAGTGCATGTAAGTGCTTAATTAGCGTTTGTCGTCGTGCAACTCGAGGAAGGCCCCCATGCTTCAGAAGTACCGTGGATCGTTGGGGCCTGCAAGGAAAGCATCCATGCCTCGCCAGATTCATCATCTCATGATAAAGCTGCCAGAGTGATATGTACAGATGTTTACACCGGCTTGCTTTGTATTCGGGCAACTTCATACAGGCTTGCCATTAGTTGCCATCAGAAGAAAGGATGGGGTTTGGTATCTGCCGACTGGACCCACTAAACCCTAAACCTCTATGGCGTCTTCTAGAATCTTGAATGCACTCTTAGGGTAATTACCCATACAGAGCCCCAAAAAATGAAACCCCAAGAGTGCTCACTTCAGGAGTAGCAACTGCCGGCTGCTATGGCAGATGGAGAGTCAGGTCATGGCCAGTCTGTCACACTTTCGCCGCTGACAGGCATGTAGTAGGTCAGATGCAGCTGCTAATTGTAGTGACAACTAGAACTTATGTCGCTTGAAAGTCCCAGCCTAAACGTGTCATCATGCTATACTAGTGTCCACCAAAACCTGGGCACCCCAAGACCGCATCGAAACCAGATGCAGAGACTCGCATCTTCGCCTTAAGTAACTTCTGTGTGCTGTGTAACCCGAACTGTTGAAAGGCAACAACTCTAAACCCGAAGCCCCGAGTGATGTTTTATGACATATTGAATTTGATTGACGATCGTGGTAGTGTGCAGTGTCTCTCAACCTAGACCCCCAAACACAAACCGTGCAAACCCCAAGCCCTATCCTTGGAGCATCGCCTTTCTAAGCCCAGGCCCGCGTTGGGGAGCGTTTTGGGTGTGGTCTTGTCAGGCTTCAGGACAGATCGCGGATCCATCATAGTATTGTATACTAGCAGCCATCGGGATAGTGTTTCTGACAGTGATAGCAAGAAACAGTAGCCATACTTGTAATACTGCTAGTAGTGGTGATAGCAATAGTAAGAGTAAGAGTGACAGAAATAGTAGAAGTGATAGTGAGTGAAAGTGACGGGGAGGGTAGTGCTAGAAATAGCGATAGCAGTAGCAATGGAGAAAGGAATAGGCATGGCATTCGTATGATATTATACAACAGCGCTAGTATGAGAGTTATAGTGATCGAAGAAATCAAAACAGACACTCTAGATAGTCTAGTCTGGTATAGTACTGTGAAGCAGCGTATAAGGCCCGACGACCATACAATAATATTCCATCAGACCATACTTGGACATAACATACCGCTCAACTCAGGTATAGAGGAGCTGCAGCTTTTCACGTGGGCTTTGTCAACCCTTGGTGGGAGAACGCATGAAGCAATGGTCCATGTCCAGGCGCTGTTCTCATAGATACCGCTGCGGGCACCGTACGACTGTGCAAGGGTCTTGAAAAGAACCTGGGGCCTTCAACCTGCTGAACCCAAACCCCTTAGTTCTTGAAGTGCCATTGCATCTGGCCTTAGGGTTTCGGGGTTTAGGAGCTGTGCCCCACTTTCTCACCAGTTCGGTATGACATTGCGGCTTACGGGGTTGTTTAGCCATCCGGGATGTGCAGACACGGGCCGGAGCAGTTGAGGCTAACCAGTGCCGTGGTGCGGCGTGTGTTGAGTTGTTTTGTGTTTGCATCGGGGTCATGCTAGCTGCTAGACTTGACTGACTTGTCTAGGGTCATTGAATCGCAACCCACGGAATGTAGCACTGCGGAGAGACATGTGGAGGGGCGGAACATTCGGCCTAGCCATTTCTTCCTTGTCGAGTTTCAATAACTATTTCCATGATTGCTGACATCTCCCCTCCTTTTGATCCCTCCACACTTCGGCTTATGGATTGAAGCCGCCTTCCTTTGATGCAAGCCTTGTTGGGGTTTGACCTGTCGGATTTCTCCGCGCTCAAAGTGCTCTCTATGCTCTCCCCCAAAAGCACGGGAGACAGGTCCACAGACAAACGGGATTTGAGACGATCTGAGTATATCAAAGAAATGATTTCAGAGAGGTGGCAGACAGCAAGCAATGCGGAAACGCGGTACAACACCAGCGTTTCTCATCCCTACATACGAATCTCTATAGCCACAATGATTACGAGCATCCTTATCAGCAACGTCATCAAAGTTGCCGGCCGCATCAAATGCCAATGACCCGCATCATTGCCCATTAGCTGTGCCATAGTTCCCACATGGCGCTAGACCTGCACACTATTTCCTGTATAGCAGAACCCCCTCAAACCGAAGTAAAAGGAGCAGTGAGGGTTCAGGCCCGGAAGAAGCCTCGCTTCCAGGAAGAAGTGTTGAGACGAGTGCTGCAGCGACAGTCTATCGACCTGCAGCTCCCGTCAGGTGGCTCGCCTGTAAGCACGTGTGCGTGGTTTTCTAAATTACGGTCCCTTTAGGGGTCCTGTTTTATAAGGGTGCTGTACTATATTGGGGACCCGAAAGGCATCATGATTTAGAGATCTGCCGACATGTGTCGAAGTCTCACACGTCGTGCTTCAAGCCAAGTCACTCGGACCATGCAAGATTAGTTATAGAGACTGGTCAGCGCTCTTGTTGCTTCTGCCCTCGTCTCTTTCATTTTTGGAGCTCGTTCCGGTTGCCCAACAGCTCTCTGCACCGTGGTGAAAGCCACCGAACTCCCGAACCCTCACTGGGGCCGCAAAGCTATGCGAGTCGAAAGCGCGAAGACTCCTGAACCATCTGAACCCCATCACCCTATAGCCATAAACCACAAGCCCAGGAAGGGAGTGGCTAGAAGAAGTTTTGGGTGTACTTTGGGCCGCCAACTTTGCCGCCTGCCTCAGCTCACACTTTCGACGAGGAGGGGGCTGTTAAGGAGCGTGGGACAGTGACAGTGATAGCAAGAAATATACATAAGAGCCGTAAGAGTGACAAAGTGATAAATTAGTAGGACTGCTAGTCGGCGGAAACTCGTCATCGTCGTCGTAGCAGCAGTAGTAGCAGTAGCCGTAGCAGTAGCACTAGCAATCGCAGTGGCGGTGGCAGTGGCGGCAGCAGGAGTACTGTAGTAGTCGTCGTCGTAGCAGGCGTCGTCTTCGTCGTCGTAAAAGTGGTGCTGGTAGTAGTAGTAGTAGTAGTAGTAGTAGTAGTAATAGTAGTACTAGTACTAGTGCTAGTACTAGTAGTAGTAGTCGTCGTCGTAGTAGTAGTAGTAGTAGTTGTGGTAGTAGTCGTAGTAGTGGTAGTAGTAGTAGTAGTAGTAGTAGTAGTAGCAGTAGCAGTAGCAGTAGCAGTAGCAGTAGCAGTAGTATTAGTAGTAGCAGTAGCATTAGCATGAGCGGTAGTTGTAGCACTTGCAATTGCAGTGGCAGTGGCAGTGACAGCAACAGTAGCAGTAGCAGTAGCAGTAGCAGTAGCAGAAGTAGAAGGTGTGGTAGTAGTAGGAGGAGGAGGAGGAGTAGGAGTAGAAGAAGAAGTAGTAGTAGTAGCAGTAGTAGTAGTAGTAGTAGTAGTAGTCGATGTAGTCGTAGTGGTAGTGGTAGTGGCAGAGGTAGTGGTAGTGGTAGTGGTAGCAGCAGCAGGAGGAGTAACACTAGGACAAGTAGGAGTGATAACACGAACATTAGCAACTAGTACTAGTACTGCGCCTTCTAGATGTCGTACCCGTTGTGGTCGACAATGGGGTGCTATTGACATTGCTGCAGCTTCGATGCCAACGGCGAATTTCGTGACCCCGTCATCACTTGTAACACATGACATCCGCAACGGGCCTTAAAGCCTTCCAACCGCGTCTTGCAGCAACGTTCCATTGCCAGGTCACTGGGTCCGAAGCCCAGCTGCCGGTAGCAGAGCTTCAGGTTTAACAGGCTTCAAGTTCGATGCCTTTCACGGCCGGCTTTCTGCTTCTACTCCTACTGCTGCTACTACTGTTGCTGCTGCAGCTGCTGCTGCAACTACTAGTACTGCCAGTTCCACACTACGTACCACTAGTGCTACTGTACTACTAGTACCAATAGTACTACTAGTGCTACTAGTATTCCTCGTGCTACTAGCAATTCTACTGCAACTACTACTAATACTACTCATGCTATTTGTACTACTAGTATTTCTAGAACTACTAGTACTTCCACCACGACTAGCATTTCTAGTACCAGTACTAGTACTAGTA